TGAGAAAAGATGGTGGGTGCAAACAATACACCCTGTTGTTTCATTAATAAGTATTTAACAAAACATAAGTTATGGCATGGTCTAAGTAAAGAGAAAGTCGGATACAACTTGGTGCATTGGGGTGAAATCCGCAAAAGGAAAGAATATGGCGGGTTGGCAATCTCTAATATTACAGACTTCAGTAATGCCTTGTTTCTCAAATGGTGGTGGAAGATATATTCCGAACCAAACAAAAATTGGTCTAAGCTTGTCAGACAGAACCACCTTCCTAGCAGCGGGTGGTGGAGATATAGAGAGAGGAACTCCTACAACTCATCCGCATTATTGAAAGGGTTAACAAAATTGAAGGAATGCTTCATGTTGTTGATTTCCTTCTCTGTGGCGGATCGTAATTCAACTTTTGTGGCAGGATAAGTTGTGTGGCAAAACAACTCTTTCACAAGAGTTTCCATTATTTTCTCTCATTCCTGTAATAAAAGGGGCACTGTAGCATCTTTAAGCAGGAGAGGCAGATGGGTTATTAACACTGATGCCTTGGATGCTGTCGGTAGAGAGCAGAAAGAAAAGCTCATTTGCAAGTTAAACTCCATGCAACCAGAAATTTCCAACCTGGATGATAAACCTCTTTGGACCTTGTGTAGAAAAGGAACGTTCGAGGTTAGAGGAACCTACAAGTTTCTCAATGATGGTGGCATAAGATGCCCCTTTGCCGAGATCATTTGGGGCATTAAAGCCCCTCAAATTGAAGGCTTTTATTTGATTAAAGCTTAAAAATGCTGTTCTTACCAAAGATAACCTCATAAAGCGTAAGTGGCAAGGCCCAAGCATGTGTGTTTTGTGCAATTGCAAAGTGAAAACAATCAATCATCTCTTCTACGAATGCCAGTATTCTGTGAATATTTGGGACGACTTCTTGAACTTCTTTAGGGTCCACACGCTACCATCCTCCATACATCAAATGTGGGTACTTGGAGAGTTCAGAGCATATAAACTAGTTCAAAAACACTCTGGGAGGGGCTGCTATCATATGGGAAATTTGGAGGGATGTAATAATAGAATTGTTAGTAAGTAGATTTTGTTGTTTAGTTTCAATAAATTTTTTTTCTCAGCCAGTTGATTGTCTTTAGAATAAATGAATGGAAGAACAGGAGTCATGTAGCTTACCCTAACATTTGATATAAAAGCTTGGTTGTTGTTGTCGTTTAGATTTTGTTTAGAACAGAGTATCATTAACTACTTCAGTATTGTGGCTCTGAGGCTATTTTTGTTGATAATTTATGAGAAACCCTCTTATATTTAGACCCTCTGATAATATCTGTAAACCATCAGTTCCTTTGTTGTTCAATATACTCATAACGTATCCCTGCTAATGTACAGTCTTGCATTAAAGTGGCACTTGACTTTGTCTCTCCGGAGAGTGTTGGTGAATGTGTCCGTTTAACTGATGAGTTCAGACTGCTTCCAAGAACCCATCGATCAAAGGAAGATAAATTGGAGGTACACAATTGTTTCCTTTTATTTGTTCAGCAAAGCCTTATAAGAAGCAAACTGGAATTTTAATTTCATAATTTGAGGTTTATCAGGAATTTCACAGCTTACCTATATGTTTGTTGTTCAATTGTATGGGTCCCTTGAACAACTATCACATGAAATGTGTTACTGGAGGTACGTCATAACATAGGTTGCGTATGAAGATATATTTATATATTGACTAGGTTAACAGTAATTTAATTAAATGAAAGCTGTTGTGAACTTCATCTTTATTCTATCACCTCTTTCAACCTTTCAAGTTTTACCATTTTCTATAGTTTAGGTCTGATAGAATTCTGGCGTATATGAAATGTAGATCCAGTGTCCAACATGTTATGAAACCTACCATTCTCTATAGGATTGTAAGAAAGTGAAGTACATATGCAAACATGGTGTAGTTTTTGAATTCTTTCCCCTCCAAAGTTTCGGTTCTTTTCTGCAGCTGTAGTCCTTTGATTTCGATATTTTTGGTCACAACATAAAAGGGTTAATTTCATTCAAAAAAAAAAAAACTGAGCTTTACAGGGTGTCCCCCTAACTTTTTTTTAATTCCACTACATCCCCTGATCTTTAGGGGTTATTTGCACATGACCTCCATAACTCTTTTATCCACAAAATCCCACCTGAAACTTTCTTATTTGATCCCATAAATTAGCACCATAAACTTCGATGTGAGGTGTCAGCAATCTTTTTGTGTGTGTGTGTGTGTGTGGGGGTGGGGGGGGGGGGATTTGAAATTAGCCCAAAATAATTTAAATTAGGATGGATTGATTCATAATTGGTTAAACATGATATCTAATCATTTAGACACAGTTTCTGTGAAGTAATTAAAGTCAAAGGGAAAAAAAAATCTATAATCCCGATCCAGTAACTGAGACAGTACAAATCTGTGGTGTTCCTCCAATGTTTGTGAAGTGTAAATTATTTTAATTAATATGCCTTTTTGTCAAACAGGAATCGTTTTATGTCTGTTTAAGACGTTGCACCATAAACTCAGGTCTAAATAGTATGTCATTTTTAATGTTTTTATAGGCTGAATCAGGTAACAATCTCTTGGTGTTTTTAAATATGATACATAGGAGAAGTGTATGCATGTTGAACATAACTAGAGAATACCCGTTGAATCCCTGCTTCCTAAGTTAATTGCAGTGGTGAAATGCACTCTCATAGAAAATGTTACAAAACAATAAACCTTAAATTCCTCATTGATTATGGAGGTTACCACTTGTCGGTTTCATTTTGCCAATAAAAAGAGAAAATCATAAAATGATCGTTACGTCGTACTATGATAACTATCCATGGATTTATCAATAAACCTTATTTCACGAATATTAGTTAGCATGTGTTCAGATCTAAGTTTTTATACGTATCTCACGAAATTACTTGGTTTGAATCAGCCACTTTAATATATTTGCATGTGTACTCGCTCCAAGATTTACGCTTGAGCTTGTAGAATTAAGAGGCCTTTAATGTTTGAGAGTATAGATGTACATAGGTAAAATTTTCTTTTCTTTGTGCTAAACTGTACCATGAAATCAGAAAAGAATAGTACCACTATATCCAACTAGTGTTTTACCGATGTTTCTGTGTTGAAGCTTGTTAAGAATATTCTGGCGCATGTTTCTTTTTTGTTAACTTAGAGCTCGCCATGGTTTTTCATGTAGTGATATTCAGTACTGAGACTTCTGTGTATTACGTCGTATAGTAATGGCAGTATCTACTAAAACACATTTGATCTATTGGGGCCGTCTGAATGAACATTGAAGATAAGAAGAGAGAAGACATTTGTTATAATTTTGTAGGGATATTGATAAGTTTATGTGGCCTTCAAGTTATGCCAAAGACAGTCCTCTGGCTTAGGTGAAGTGAGAGTGAGACATTTAGGCATCATCAGCGCAATCAGTCAAAGAAATGTTGACATATTAAGATTAGTTTAGGACTTTATTTGTAAGTTTGTGTAAAGGGCCTATATGAAGCCCCAAGAGATCTCATAATGAATTAAGGGCGTTTTACTCTCTAATTTTCATATGGTCATCGAGAGCCATTCACACACAACCTAGCGCCGGCCCCCGCCTCTCTCCTCATCCGCTGACCCTCACCTCCGCCCGCCCCCTTCTCTGTCCAGAACCGACGAACTCCCCTGTGGTCCTTACCGATCTCCCAGAAGCCCCCGCCCCCTTCTGCACAGAACGCAACCCTGTCCAGAGACTCGAACCCCTCCTGTCTTCGCTCCTGTCCTGAGCAGCAGGAACGCCCGCCCCCCCACTGTCCGACACTTCTTCCTGTCTTCCGATTCATGCACAGACCCGAACCCCCCCGATCCCTCTCTCCGTCCGAGCAACGAGGCCTCCCAACTATCGACCCACCTGATCCCCACTGACGAGGACAACCCCTGACACCCCCCACGGCCTCTAGCCGCTGCCACCTCCAAACCCTTTTCTAGCCGCTGCCACCTCGAGCCCCCCCTGCTGCGCTATGCCGGACCTAGAGTTTGGCATGAGTTCCCTCGACTCAGTCCTCGAACTGATGACAGGAAGAGTATATATCTCACATCGATGAGATATATAACTGTTTTTGGTTCTTGTTTCCTCTGAGAAACGAGAATTTGTTTGAGATCATACTCTTGTTGTGCAGCAGAGGTGCTGCCGAAATTTTTACTGCACACAACAAGGGTCTGAAGAGAAGGTGAACAGGTAGTGGGTCTGAAGCCTATTCGATGGAGGAGATCATTAAGAAGTTGAACCCTGCGGAGGTGTCAACTTTGATGAAGCTAATGAAGTTGTCGGCTGGTGAGAGCGCGACAAAACCATCGAAGAAATTGGAGCTTCCGACCATCGATCTGAAGCTGGATGGACCTAGTACGTACCTGAGCTGGTCACGGCGGGTGAGATATACCCTTGCAGGGAGGAATCTGGAGGGTTATCTGACAGGAGAGGTGACAGAGCCGGAGGACTCAGAGGGAAGAGATGAGTGGAAATCCACTCATATGTTAGTGTACATCTGGCTTCTCAACTCGTTGGTCCTGACGATCACCGCCACGGTGGATGACATTGAGAAGGTGAAGCACGTCTGGGAGAAGTTGAGGAGGACATATGATGGAGTGGGGAATAACCTGCGGGTATTCCAGATTAAAGGAGAGATCGATGCCACAGTTCAGGGAGAAAGGACTGTACAGGAATATGCTACAGAGTTGGAGCGCCTGTGGCTGGATTATGATCATTTTTCCCCACGGGCTAGCTGCAAAGACCCGGGATGTAAAGAGCGGGAGGCCTTTCTACAGGAGAGGACTATGGTGTTTCTCAAGGGATTGACATCAGAGTTCGCTCAGCGAATCGCATTGCTGCTAGCTCAGCCGAAGATTCCCACGCTAGAGGAGGCTGTCTCTGCTATGATCCAGGAGGAGACTCGCATTCGGCTGCAGGCAGGGACAGGTGGACTTCCTGTGGTGAAGTCAGCAATGGCAGCCTCTAGCAACACTGGATCTAGGGGAGAGACTCGACAGTGCTACAACTGCGGCACGGTGGGTCATCTAAGGCATGCTTGCACCAAGCCACCCAAGGAAGGAGATTCGGGTGAACGTGTACAGTTCGGAGATCGTGGTCGTGGCCGTGGGGGTCGACGAGGTGGAAGAGGAGCAGGGAATCGGGCGAATCTGATGGTCGCAGAGGAAGAGGAAGCAACTGAGATGGTCTTTACTGAGGAGGACCATATGCTCCTGGAGATTCTTCGGAGGAAGCAGAGAGTAGCAGGAGATGGAGACAGAAGAAGTGGAACTGAGGAGACATCCAAAGGCAACTCTGCTACTTATGGCCATCCGACCAAAGGTACGGATGCCATACATGCTCTTGCTTCTATATCTCCCAATAGACCATCAGAATGGATTGTCGACTCCGGTGCATCTCGACATGTGACGGGCAACGCTAGTGAGTTCTCGTCATACACTCACCTAGCATCAGCAGATAGCATCCAAACAGCTGATGGTACATTTCAGCCTGTGGTTGGTAAGGGTACCGTTAATTGTACAGGTTCTGTAACTCTATCCAATGTTTTGCATGCTCCTTCCTTTCCAGTAAATCTTTTGTCCATTAGTGCTATTATTCTCCAACTAAAATGTATCGTTTCCTTTGACATTCCCAAGGTGATCTTCCAGGAGAAAGGGACAGGACGGAGACTTGGGACTGGCACGTGGAGTAATGGACTGTGGTACTTGGATCGTGAGGGGCTGGACTCAGCTTTGGTGTCAATGGTAGAGAAAGCAGGAGTAGGATCTGAAATGAGTGCCGAGAGTGAATTGATGCTTCATCACCAGCGCTTGGGACACTCATCCTTTGGTACTTTAAGTAGGTTGTATCCATCTTTATTTGAGAAAGCAAATAAAGAGAAACTTGTGTGTGATGCATGTAAGTTGGGAAAGCTTACTAGAAGCTATTATGCTAGTTCTGATCATAGGAGTTCTCATGTATTTGATCTGATACATTCAGATGTTTGGGGGCCTTGTTCCACAAGTTCTATGAACGGATACAAGTATTTTGTTACATTCATTGATTGCTTCTCTCGCGTTACTTGGTTATACCTGATGAAGAATAAGAGTGAAGTGTTTGGCTGCTTTCAAAACTTTCATAGGAATGTTCAGACCCAATATGGAGCAGTGGTGAAGGTATTGAGATCTGATAATGGGACAGAGTACACCAACAGAGTGTTTGGAGAATACTTGTCATCTCAGGGAATACAACACCAGACTACGTGTCCATACACACCAGCTCAGAATGGGGTAGCAGAAAGGAAGAACAGACATCTCTTAGAGGTTGCTAGAAGTATGATGATCTCCATGAATGTCCCAGAAACATTGTGGGGGCAAGCAGTATTGACTGCAGCGGCGCTGATCAACAGAATGCCCTCGAGAGTACTGGATTGGAAGTCTTCGTGTGAGACATTGAAAGGAGATAATGGTGGGATTCTTCCACTGAAGGTATTTGGCTGTGTGTGTTTTGTGAAGGATAACAGACCATCCGTCGGGAAGCTTGCCCCTAGAGCGGTGAAATGTATTTTTGTGGGATATTCTGCTACTCAAAAGGGATATGTTTGTTGGAGCCCGGTGGAGAAAAGACTGTTCGTGAGCATGGATGTGTACTTTCGTGAATTTGAGCCATATTACACACAGAAGGTACCCTCATCCGTTGGTGACTCGCCCAATACTGGAAGTATGAGGCGAGAAGGGGAGAATGATGAGAGGCAGATGAATAATACTGGAAGTATGAGGCGAGAAGGGGAGAATGATGAGAGGCAGATGAATAATGTAGAGAATAATGTGAAGAAATCGATTTCTCTAACAATTCCTTGGGAAGGAGAATTGGTTGAGGAGGAGCAGGAGAATAAAGAAGAAGAGGATAAGGAGACAAGAGGTGTTAGGCCCACGGCTCAGGGGGAGCTACTTACTTATAGTAGGAAGGGGAAGCAAATTACGGAAACAGTACCTACAGTGCCACTAGTGCCAGGTCCCTTATCAACGCCTGTCCCGACTCCTGAGACACCTACACCACCATCAGATTCCTCCCAAGGTGATATCAATCCTCTCCTTACTCCTCCCACACCAATGTCAGTACGGAGGACTACTCACAGCAATGCAGGACATCCTCCCGATAGATATGGTTGGGATCTTGCCTAGTTTATATCATATTCTAATATCCACCCTGCACATGGAGCATTCATTGCATCATTGGATTTTGTTACTGTACCTAACAATTGGCAGGTTGCTAAGAAGGACCCAAAGTGGAAAGCAGCTATGCATGAGGA